GGAAGACGTGAGGTGAACAACAATCTGATACTTGGACCAGAGAGACATCAGGAGGGGAACTCTAAGCAGCTGACTTTCAGGGCCGTTTGAGGCAGATTCCGTTATTATCCCTACTTTGCAAAAGACAGAACAGAAGCTCAGAGAATTTAATGGCTGTGATTACACAATGTGCAAGTGGCAGAACTGGGACTTGAACTCACAAATTTAATTTTATATTTATTTATTTTTTATTTATTTGAGAGGCAGAGTCACAGCAAGAGGCAGAGTCATGGGGGAGGTGGTCTTCTATTCATTGGTTCACTTCCCAAATGGCCACAACAGCTGGAGCCAGGCCGATCCAAAGCCAGGAGCCAGGAGCCTCCTCTGGGTCTCCCATGCTGGGTGCAAGGGCCATCCTCCACTGCCCTCCCGGGCTACAGCAGAGAGCTGGATCAGAAGTGGAGCAGCCGGGACTTGAACTGGCACCCATGAGGGATGCTGGCACTGCAGGCGGAGGCTTAGTCCCCAGTACTGGCCCCATTAAATGTAATTCTAAAGAAACCATTTCAGTTAAGTATAGGACACACACCAAAACGTATATACATTCATAGCCTCAGTGCTTTCCCAAACTGAGCACACTTTTCATAAACAGAACCCATAAATCCCTTCTTGTTCCTCTTTCCTCTTGCTGCTCCCAACCCAACTGCCTACCCTTCTGACGTTTATGGGCGTAGCTTGCTTTTGCCTATTCTTGAATTGTATGGATGTGATATCATACAGTTCATGCTTCTCTCTCTCTCTCTCTCTCTCTCTCTCTCTCTCTCTCTCCATTGTGCTTGGGAGATTCATCCATGCCATTGTGCCCAGCAGGGGTCCGCTCTTTTTCCTTGCTGCATAGTATTCCATGTACAACTGTGCTGCGATTGATTTGGTTGTACAGAGCCTATGTTTTTTAACCTTGAAGCTCTACTGCCACCCACAGATATCTGCACGTCACAGGGTGAACAGGGCTTTCAAAGAGCCGGAGGCCAGGGAGGGTGTGAAACACTCAAAGCCACAACTTCAGAGACAGGTGCTTTCCTAGCTGCAGAGTGGCCTTGAGGTGGGGGGAGGCGGGGCCGACTGGATGCTCCCCTGGGGGCTGACACTTTATAGAGTGCCCCCCACCCAGAAGCACCGCAGCTCATATCCCTGACGGCTCCATCAGGGAGCGGGTGCCTTCCCCGTACCATCAGGAGGAAACTGGGGATAGGGGACGTCACTCCAGTCCCCCATGGTGAAATGAAACAGAAACAGAAACAGGATCTGAATCACGTCTCCTGATACCACGTTCTGGGCTGTTTGTATTTTGTTCCAGCTGCTTGGTAAAATCCAGGGGCTGGGGCTGCAGGGCCTAGGCGACCCTTGCTGTCCCTGTGAGGACGCTGTGGGCTGGGATTCTGAGCCCCCTTCCGAGCAGGATTTTAAGCAACACATGTCTCTGGGTTTGGGGAAGTGAAAACCTACCTTCCCTTGAGCTGCACTGTGTTTATTTGCAAAATGGGGGCGTGGTCTGGTTATCGTGAACCACCCCGACTGTGTGGCAGCGTGGTCATCTTCCCGCAGCAGCTGGAGGCAGACGGTGCTGGTAGCGAGTGCCCCAGAGAGGCGGAGTGACCGCCCGTGGCCACGCTGCAGGTGAAGGCACCCCAGGCACCCCAGGCTCCACTGCATGGTGTCCACTAGGGGAGGCCTAAGGCCAGGACACACCCCACTCCGAGGGCTTGGGAACTACAAGGCAGGGACACGGAGGCCCAGCACAGTTGGGGGCTTACCCGGGACAGAGCAAGAAGGGTCAGAAGCCCACGACTCCCACGTCCCACCTTCCACAGTCGGGGCTGGATGTGGGGGTCTGCAGAGGACCCCCCCGACAGACTGGTCCCAAGGGGGCTTTCTCCCCGGGGACAGGGAGACCCCTTTATCCCCAGAACTCCAGCACTCACTTCCCTGGTGCTGTGGGAGTGATCCCAGCACCTGCTCTCTCTCTGGTCAGGAGCAGTAACTGGGATGAGGCAGGTCGACATGACCCCAGTGCCTGGTGCCCACCACCTGCCACCCCACAAGCCCTGCTAATGAGGACAGCTTAGGAATGGCACTGCCTTGTGTTAGGGCAGGGAACTGAACACACACGCGCACACACACACACGCACATGCACATGTGATTCCCGAGAGAAAGGTGTTTGTAACAGAGAAACACAAGCCAGCTGTCAGAGCAGAGGGAGCTAGAGCATGCAACGTGGCAACCGTGGAAGCTTTGCTGTTCCCTTGATTCTGTAGCAAGACCACCCTGCCAGGCGTTCACAGCTGGGCAGCAAACCCTGCCCCTCAGGGCATTCATCTCCACACTGCTGGGGGCAGGGGAGGCAGGGAAGCCCCTCTGTGGGCTCTGGTGTCCAGGGGGACTGCTCCCGCTCCATGCTCCTTGGAGTGTAGTCCAACCACAGGTCCCTTGATGAGATGGGCATGGCAGGAAGTCCTGGGCTTGATGCCAGGGCAGTGCACTCAGTGGTGAGGTCTGGGTGGGGCATGGGAAGGAGAGTGTGGGCTGGAAGGAAGTTGGAGGTGGTCCTGCCTTCACTCTCAGCCAGGAGACTTCCTCCCCCAGGTAGCTCTCCTGGGTTCCACTCTGCATCAATTTTTCCCCCATTTTCTCTCTCCTCTCTGCTCCCTTCTGGCACCCCATCTCTGACAAAGCAGCTGGACAGAAAAGCAAAAAGTCTAGAATTCTGTGCTCCTGGGCTATTCCTCTGCTAAAAGCCAGTGTGGCCATAGGTTGTACAAAGAGGTTCTGGAGCAAATTCTGAGTTCAGATCTCTGGGGAGGACAGGGTGTTTATCACCTGAGGGAGGGTTTCTCATGCAGGGCCTGCCGCTTTGCTAGAAGCCTTTCCAGGGCCTGGATGCCTAAAGAGAGAGGGCTGATGTCAGGGGTCAGAGGGTGCCCCCACCTGGGTGAGGCCCAGAATGGTGCAGGGCAGAATCTTCCAGGCCAGCATCAGGCTGGCACCACAGCTCACTAGGCTAATCCTCCGCCTGCGGTGCCGGCACCTCGGGTTCTAGTCCCAGTCGGGGCGCCGGATTCTGTCCTGGTTGCCCCTCTTCCAGTCCAGCTCTCTGCTGTGGCCCAGGAGTGCAGTGGAGGATGGCCCAAGTGCTTGGCCCTGCACCCCATGGGCGACCAGGAGCAGCAGCGTGCTGGCTGTAGTGGCCATTTGTGGGAGGTGAACCTACGGAAGGAAGACCTTTCTCTCTCTCTCTCTCTCTCTCTCTCTCTCTCTCTCTCTCTCTCTCACTGTCTAACTCTGCCTGATTATCTTCCAGCCAAGGGATGTGCAAAGGTCTTGGGTATGGCTACTTTTTTCTCACTTCTTGTTATCCACTGGGTGGCCTTTGGGGCCCAGCTAAGGCTCTTCCTTGATCTGATCAGGGTTTGGGGACCCCCCAGGGGTAGGGATGAGGCATCCCAGCCCCAGCCAGAATGACAGCACCCAGGACGGGCAGTGGGGCCCCAGAGCTGGCCGTGGAGCTGCCAGGTCTCCCGGGCAGCTGCTGCTCCTTCCCAGGGCTGCTCTTGGCCCACGAAAACGTCTGCAGGCAGCCTGAGCCCAGGGTGGAACAAGCATGCTGACCCTGGGGCCAGGGCTGTGCCTTTGTGCCCAGCCTTTGAGTCCGGGTCTCAAGGTCTCCTTGGCACCTGCAGAGGGTTCTAGCCAGCCGTTCCCTCCCGGCCCCCGCAGGACGAGGCCGAACAAGCTGGCAGCATGGCTTCGTGCACTGTTGGCTTGCTGGGTCTTACTGCGGAGAATG